CATTTTATTACGAGTACCAAAAAAAAAAGCTTTTTACTTTGTCTTGATATTGCAAAGTGGTTCTGTTGCTTACATGAAGTTTTTACAATAATCCTGAGTGACTAACTGTCGCATATTATGGGCAGAAACCGGCCGTCACATATTTGCGTCGCTAGTCCATATGAATGGAAAATTTAGTAATATTGCGGTAGAAAACGTGTTAACAGTGTGTTATGTGTTTAAGGGAGAAGGAGTGACAGCCCTGTTGTTGCCGCTGCGCTCTGGAGGAAAGGGCCTGAATCTGGTGGAGGCGACTCATGTGTTCTTGGTGGAACCCATCCTGAACCCAGCTGATGAGCTGCAGGCTGTGGGAAGAGTGCACAGGATAGGACAAACCAGGTGGCTTTAACAACCCTCACTAAAGTTTTTAAAAATATGCTTTATTTCTCAAATTGAGACAACCAGAGTTGTCTGTACGGTTGGTATAGATCAGGGATTCCCAACAGGGGTACGCGACAAACCAGTCAGGGGTACACCGAAAGAGCCTAAACCTATTTTAATCACAAATAGGAATATTAATGATTTCTTGGGCTTACAATATTAGATATACAAAAGGGTACAGGAGGGAAATTGGTTGGGAACCACTGGTCTAGATTATTGGTTAATTGTACAGTAGAACTCAAATCTAATAATGATTTAATAAAGGATCTTATTCATGCATGACAGACCTGGAGGGGTTGGATAGATTAGAGCCAACAATTATTACTTAGATTTAGATTGAACTCTCATAAGAAGGTTCTAATTTTCAAAGACAAGTCTGGCGAACCCTTACTACAAATAAACGGATCACTGCTTTATCCACATTGTTATTAATATTTTACCATCAATGGTGTTTCAGGCCCACAACAGTACATCGGTTTATAGTGCGGGAGACGATAGAGGAGAGAATAGTTGCTGCTGTGGCGGCTAGTGGAACAGAGCAATGGGCTGATGATTGTATCACACTCCAGCAACTGTTTGACTTGTTCTCCAGCGACTGTGAACTATCTATCAACGCTAGTCAGCCGGACCCTTCCTCTTCTGTGCTCAACGTAGACTCTGATAGTGACCATGAGAGCAACAATGAACAAGAAGGTCTCCGATTGTCTGATAGTGAGGAAGAATGAGACCCTTCAGTATTAATTTGTGTGCATTACATTAGTTTATATTGTCAATTAAATTATTCTGATGGCTGTGTCAGTGTATTTGCGTTGTTTGTTGTATCGTATTATATTTTTTCACTTAAGTAGAAGCAGTATTCTCTTAGACAGTAAGAATAAATTGTTGAAAGCTTTATCAGGTGTTTTACATTCTTTTTCCTTTGAATTAATTTTATCAGGTACAGTACAACTCCAACTGTTGCAAATCCTTACAGCAGACAAAAACACCTTATAGAGGACAAAAACAAAATTGTAGAAAAAAATTAACCCACATGCCCGTCATTAATTTTATGCCCAATCACAGCCATTTGTGTTGGCCGATCCCTTATTTAATATTTTAAGAAAATCAAGTAAATAAATAATGGTTTTGATGCATATTGTTTTACTGTTTCTTGTTGTGCTAAACCATGAGAGCGTGGTGGTCAAAAGAGTGTTAGAGAGTAGTAGCCACAACACCCATTATAGTCCAGTCAAGGAATGAGGTGTAGAGTGCGTGAGCAGGTAACTAAGCGATTCCTTCAGAAACTTGTTCAGGGGGCTTAGGGTGTTAACATACCAAAAGTCCTGACTCCTAGGTGGTGAGCCAGGGGGTGGAGGGGGGAAAAAGGGGGGGAGAAAGGTACGCATTTTGGGTTTTTTGATTATATCTCGAAAACTATCAACTTTTTGTATACTATAGTAAATTATAAAATTGAAGAAGATTAAATTTTCTACAAGAAAAGTACATAATGTGTTTATTTTGGTTCAACAGATTACGAGTTATAACTTATTTAATTGATATCTTATTAAAATACTCCTTCCATAAGAAATACATGTAAATTAGTATGCGAAATGGGGCGAATCCAATCCGCCCAAAGGAAATATAAATGATATTCTGGAAATCTCGACAAAATTTCCAGTAATTTGACACTTTAATCATTAAAATTGATCCAAAATTAAGACGAGGGCGAGGTAACAAAATGTTGAGTTTTGGTGTTTTTTTATTGGAAATATAAAAAAAACCTTAAATCATCCAATTTTTAAACGCTCACCCTCGTTTTAATTTTTGACAAAATTTCATGATTTAAGTGTCAAATTACTGGAAATTTGGTCAAGATTTCCAGAATATCAGTTATATTTCCTTTGGGCGGATAGGATTCGCCCCATTTCGCATACTAATTTACATGTATTTCTTATGGAAGGAGTATTTTAATAAGATATAAATTAAATAAGTTATAACTCGTAATCTGTTGAACCAAAATAAACACATTATATACTTTTCTTGTAGAAAATTTAATCTTCTTCAATTTTATAATTTACTATAGTATACAAAAAGTTGATAGTTTTCGAGATATAATCAAAAAACCCAAAATGCGTACCTTTATCCCCCCCTTTTCCCCCCCTCCACCCCCTGGCTCACCACCTAGGAGTCAGGACTTTTGGTATGTTAACACCCTAAGCCCCCTGAACAAGTTTTTGAAGGAATCGCTTAGTTACCTGCTCACGCACTCTACACCTACTTTTGGATCATTCATTGACTGGACTATTAGGTTTTTCTCAGGGATGTAATCCAGGCGGGCATAAACCATGGAAGCAGAGGTGTGTTGCCCTAAAAAGATAATTTAATTATTTAAAATTTCCTAAGGCCAGGTGCACACAGGTGACTGAGACTAGCAACAGTTGGCCGACCAAATAAATGTTGAGCATTGTTAAAAATTGGAGTGTGCACATCAAGGAAATGGCCGAGGGACAGTTGCACAACTGTTGTTCCCAGACCCAATTTGCCAGAGACAGCTTAGCGACTCAATTGTTGTGGGACTGTCGCTTCAGACTTGGTATCCATTGAAACAAGTCTAGACGTGCACACATACGACTAGTGTCGCTCAGACTCAGCCAGCTACTCGTGGTAACTGTCACTTGTTTGCTATCTTCATTAGTTGTGGTGTGAAGTTTGTTTGGATAAATTACATTTTTAAGTATAAGTGTGCGTGTTGAGGATGTTGACAAATCAATTGATGAAGTTGAGAAGAGGTATCCTTGGCAGTTACAAACAATCTAAACCTCTTATTTTTTTGCCCGTGACACTTCAATAACAGAGTAAATACTATCCCATCATTGAAATCCATACTGTAATGTCCGACTTGCGTCTTAAACAGTTGCTTGTATGAGCACTCCTGTCGCTAGACTTCAGAGGCTCGGAGTGAGTTGCGCAACAGTCCCCCTATTAATTGGGCAACTGTTGCTAGACTCAAAAGTCGCCTGCGCCTGGCCTTAATTTTCTTTTATATTTCGCTGTTATTTTAATTACTGGTGAATTCTGTTCTGGTGAATTGGCTGTTACTGGTGAATTCTTTGTAGGTTTAATAAGCATAGTGGCATAGATGGGTAATTTTGTAACAGTAACAGTATGTATAGACAACAACACTGGGGAAATCTTCACAGCATAAGTCACCTTTCCAGGTTAGGGCTCTACCATGTTGTCTTTTTCAGTCTCAAACAAAAAATTATGTATACTGTATTATACAGACTGTCCCAAAAGTCCCGGACCGGTTTAATATTTTCTAAACGACAACAGATAAATCAATAAGATTTGGTACATCAACACCACACCTAAAAATCTACTTTTTTATGGAAATATAAATTTTCTGTCACATCATGGGGACGTCCCGCAAGGAGTCAGAAGGAAATCTTAAATAGAAGCATAGGTTGACATGTACATCAAATTAAAGGTCTTTACTAGCAGAATATAATGCTGCAAATTTGAACTCAAACGGACAACCAAGTCAAGAATGACAGTGGTTCAAAGATTCATTTAATTTGCATTTGGGGGCACAGCCCTAGGAATCGGAAAAAATGTTTAACGTAAGCATAGGTCGATATGCACATCAAATTAAAGGTCTTCACTAGTAGATTACAATGCCGTAAATTCAAGCTCAAAAGAACGCCTGAGTAAAAAATGGCAATCGTTCAAAGATTCAAAATGGCAGGTTCAAGAAATCTTTGAATGGCCGCCATTTTGTAACGGGTGATCCTTTCGAGGCGCGGTTTCCGGCATTGAACTCTGCTAGCTAAGCCCTTTAAACTGACGTGCATATTGACCTATGCTCCTATTTAAGATTTCCTTCTGACTCCTCGTGGGACGTCCCCATGATATGACAAAAAATTGATAGTTCCTTAAAAAAGTAGATTTTTAAGTGTGGTGTTGATGTGCAAAATCTTATTGATTTATCTGTTGTCGTTTGGAAAATATTAAACCGGTCCGGGACTTTTGGGACAGTCTGTATAGCAGTCATTCATCTAGTCAGCTGATAAAATCGTTAAGTCAGAAACAAAAATTTCCCCTCACTTATCCTTAAAATAAATATACCCTAGAGTCGGTGACATATAATTAAATTTATACAGCCTTAAAAGAGGACTTAGTGAAAAAAAGCTGAAATCATTGGCTACAGTTCTTCCTTTTAAGTTTGTCACCCATATGTGGCTGGCTGTAGACAATTTTAACATATGTGACTTGTCTTGTAGATGTAATTTGCAAGGTAAGCCGTGTTTACATGAGGCAGTACCTGCCTAGTGTAAACGTGACTATTGTGTAAAACCCTGCGGTATTGGTAAAAAAATGTATAATGGTGTTTTAAAACTGTGAACAAAGTTCATTTTATTAGGATACCACCTAGTTCTTAGTACTGCATCATAAGTAGACAAATCGAGCGTTAAACCGTATTGTTTGTATCAGTAGCCTACTATGTGCCAGCTCCACACTACTCTTTAATACCAGTTTTATGGAGTTCTCCGCCACAGCATGCTGTATTCCAATATGTAAATCACAACAAATAAAACACTGAATTTGAAGTAAATTCATTTATTGAGCCTATCTAACAATAAATTCAGACTTAAATCGATACGTGTACATTGCCTATGTTAAAAGCGTAATAGTTGTCATGGCTAAAATTTACAAAAATAACAGTTTCATTAGAATTAATTGACTTATAACGTTGTATTTTAAATATAAGTCTATTTTTTAAAACAACATTAGCTAATAAAAATGAATAACTATTTGAGAGTAGAGGAAATTGACTCGAGATCACAGGGTTACTAGTTATTTACCAACGGTGAGATCAACATAAAAAACAAAAGAAATCCAGAAACCTTTTTATATACTAAAGACCCAATTATACTGTTTAGCTTTTGTACACAGAGTGACCAAAGTCAATTGGTTATTGAAATGTGAACTGGTGTTTACTAACTTCCACTCTTGAATAGAGCCATAGTACACAAAACTAAACGGAGTATTAACCTTGCCTAAATTTACAGTAACCAAATAAAGATTTTTGTATTAGGAATTTGTGAAGACTTACTACACTGACCATCAAAATTGTTTATAACAACCACCATCAAATCAAGCTCAAGACTATAAAATTGCTGCTTGAACTGACGATGGACTTGAGCATAGGTGACAACTAAGGGACAGTTATAACAACGATGATCAATCAGTGATATAGTGATTTACAACAAGGAATGTACAGTCAATGGAAGGATAAACTTTGGAACATTTCTCAATTATTGCACAACACTTAAGTCTCAATTGCAGAATTCTAATAAAAATATGAATATTAATTTGCAACTAAAAATCTTGGAAGTAATCATCAAATAAAAATTTTGAAAAAATGAAAGATCATTTGGAACTGATAATAATTTTTAATAGAACCATATTGGACGGAATTTATGGCAAAGAATTTCGCATCTAACAAAGGCTAACACGGTTATAAAAAAGTTAACGCAACTATCACTTACAATACACACTCTTATAACTTATATTAGGAAATAAAAATATTTTCTTCCACTTATATACGTTACTATGAATAATATGAATTAAAGTATATATTATGGCCTATATTTTAATAAAACAATGGAAATGCAATAAAACTATTACATTTCCATAAATCAGTAGAACGAGATTCTGAAAGTTATTAGCAATTGATGAACATATTAATTTTTTTACAATTAAAATGATCCCAGGCCTATATTATATATCAATACGTTATTTTGATTAAAAGCAACTCAGATAAAACACACTCCTAAACTAAAACAATGCACGTTACTTCAATGGTACGGAAAACTAAAACTTCTTATTTGTAACGCTAACTTATGAACTAAAAATATCATATTTATTTAATACTAATTACATGTGCTTTAGTGCTTGTTAACTAATAAAATATAAGCTCTAGCTTCTCTATGAAGTTGTATTTGCTCTTATTGCATGGGTGGGTTTGTTCTACACAGAACACAGAATACCTTATGGCATGTGTTAAAATAGCTACCTATAGAGAATTGAGAACATCATAAAACAGTCAACAATGCTTCAAATAAATTAGCTATATACCTGGTTATAAGTAAAACCATGGTACAATAAACAAAAGAATGGACTGTAGACAATTAACTTAGCTTTCTGAGCCAGTTAACTGTTTAATGGAATGTAAAGTAAATGCTTTCTTAGTACAGTCTTGTAAAACGGTAGTGAAGGAATGTTGAGGACAACCAGATAGAAGTAACTACACGGCTATTACATCAGAGGTACCATTGTCTTACAGCTAAATTAAATATAAGTTAGTATTTTAGGAATTAGCTTTGGTATATAAAACACATGGATGAGTATCTTCCTTGCCTCTTCTAATCTCACTTAGTAGCCACAAATAATGATAATCAACACACTGGTAAAATATAGAGCCGGGTTTTTAACGAGGGATATTTTATGTAAGAAATTTCAATCGATGTTGATGAGAAATTAAACAGTGTTTGAAAAATATTGCTTAAAACCTCATTAAAATGTTTGAAATACTTGATCTTTCTTTACATATACTTTGTAAATGAATATCTCCCAAAACAAGTTAATCACTAAAATGTACGAGCATACATTTAGTAAACCCTTAAGTACAACCAATCAGTCTTACAAGATTAAAATAATAGTTTCATAGTAAGAACAACAACTCTCAAAAAAATAAAAATGTTAAATAACAAAATATTACTGAGATTAGAAAAAGGGGAAAATGAACTCATCACCTCACTGGGTTCTACAGTTTAGGACGTCGTCAAATACTAACAGCAACTCACTGAAAGACAAGGTAACACCGACTGAAAGGGAGATGAAGTTATCGGCTTAGGAAGAAGTCGTCCTTGTTGCGTTGAAGGCGGCGGACGACGAGGCAGACAGTTCCAGTGAGGATCACTATGGCCGGGAGTCCAAGACCAATCAGCAACACCAACATTACCAACATGGAGAAGTGCTCTTCTGGGGGCTGCCCGTAGCCGGCAACCATAGTCCTTAACAAATAATTCATTTGTAATAATTGCAGCCTTGAAAACACCTGTAATTTTTGTGCAGTCAAGAAATTTCTAGGGGATGCGAGACCTATGATACTAACGTTTTGTTACACAGATTAAGATTGTTAAAGGAAATTCATGATTGGCTAGGCCTAATGTTTAGCTGTTCCTGATTAATGGACTTCCTTCATTGATTTTAATTTATGCAGCATACAATTTTAGTGTGGTAGTTTTGTAAAAAATGTAGGCTTACCAAATGAATCAATACTTTTTTTATGTCTTACCTTCTCATCCTAGGATGCTAGGTTCTAGCCCAGAACCATTTTACACTTTACTTTGGGCTAGACCTTAGACCTAGATAATATCTATTATTGGTGATTAGCAGGATTTGAATCCTGGACCTCAGGGACTGAGGCTCTGCACTCTACCACTAGACTAGCTTGCTCCCCTCTAGCTTAAATGAGTCCATATTAGTTATCGTTCCATCCTAATATTATTAGGATTATTATTATTATTAATTAATATTATTTTATTTCAAGTCTGATTCTCATATATTGGGTGGTATTTTTTAAATTTGGATTGTCATAAACAAATTGGTCCCCAAATTATCTTTTTGACATTTCTGTTCAACTTGGACTAACTGGAGAGTATCTCTGTTATGAGTAGGCTATTGTATGAAACTAATATGTTTGTATGGGACTAATATGTTTTCCTTGTACCGGTACACTATATAGGCCTAAGGGAAACTGTTGACCAAAATCAAACATTTAGCCTAACTGCAAGATTGGCAACGTGATGTGCACAGTTTAAAATGAAAAAAATTGACATAAATAGAGAACTAGCTAATACAAATGACTCATCAAAACCTATTGACTCACACAATTTATCCAAAAATATATAGCTTATGTCAATAAAAACAAGAAAACCCCTTCTTACCATGCAGCATATTGATTCTTGTTGTAGAAGCCGTCCTTAGCTACTCCGAAGGTCACATTGGTAGCGATGGTGAGCATGTCGTCAACTTGCGGTCCGAGGGCAGAGAACAGGAGCGAATGGTTGAGAGCTGAGCGTGGGGATGTTGGGGCGACTACGTGATACTGCACTGTTTCTGTGCTGTTGGTCATCTCACGCTTGTCAGAGAAGTATACAATGGGACGCCACTGAAGGTAACCACCACCAGCCTTGTCATGCACTGCCGGTGTTAGCAACTCCTCGATCTACAACACATTGGGGGAGTGAAATAAACCATAATGGTAGGAATAATAATAGTAAGTAGTAAATAATCTTAAAGGTCGCTACTTTGATTCCAATCAATTTTTATTCTACACCTAGAAGGAAGAGATTTGTCAATGGGCTTAGCAATTAATGATGCTATCTAACATAAGGTTGATGTTAGATACTTAGTAACAAGACCAGGGTTTGGACCGTTCTCAAAAACATAAAAATACCAATAATGTGTAGATACCAATCAATTTATATGAGAGAAATGAAAGGTTTTGATTGGCGTGGGACTCACAGTGAAGACTCCAGGTGCATGTTCGTCATCCAGTGTCTTCCTGTGGTTGACCGAGGGCAATGTGGAGTTACGAGAGTCAGAGCTGACTGCGAGGAGGCCGAGTCCGTAGCGAGACCTATTGTACTGTGGAGAGAGTCCATTGATGATCAGGTCAACCTGAGAGGCGTTACCAGAGTGGAGCAGGTGGGGCAGAGGCTCACCGTGGGTCTCAGCTCCATACGCTGACAACTGCAACATTCATAGCCAAAACTTTAGTAATACGCCACAAAGATGGGAAAATGGCGTAATGGTACAAGTCTGATGTATTCCTTGTAAGATTTGACAAGCTGGGGATTCATGCAAGTTAGCACCTTTCTGGGAGAGTCGTTTATTTTTTGCCACACTACCAGCAACAAATATAAGTAAAACACAACCCACACGTATACTACCACAATAGGCTACTGTTTAATAGGTCTATACACAATTTTAAGTTTTAGCACAACAATTTAACATTGCAAGGGTTGTTAATCAAACATTTCCTATGTTTAATGTGAAAGTGCATTTTGCCTGTCTAATTTTTGTGTGTACCTTTGTTGAGAGCCAACTAATGAAACGCAAATGTGAAAAAGTGTTCTATAGGTAGGCCTATTTTTGGTAAATTACTGGACTCCAGCTGATTCAACCGAATCTCTTTCTGTAAAAAACTACTTTCTGGTCTGCAAAGAGACCAGAAACCAACTGCTAACTGTGTTGTTATATCTTCAATACAGTTTAGGACTGATAAATAATATGTCAACAATCGGTCAATGTTTTCCACCGACTTCCTAGTATTCGGGCATTTAAACTTAAATTGTCGAGAAATCAATTATTTTTTTAACTTAGGCTAATTAAAGAGATAAGATTAGTAGAATTAATTAACTAAGAATGTGTTACCAATCCTTAAATTTATCTTATCTTTATCAAAACCAACCCTAGAATAAAGAAAAATAATTGTTTTGTTTTACATGATAAACTTTAGGCCTACTTAAATAGGTTCTCTGTGTAACTGCACCCAGCAGAGCTAAAATTAAGTTTTGAAGTAAAGTAACTTAAATACCAAACAAATTATTTGTGTGTTTGATAATTAGGAGAGTAACTTAATTAGGAACTTACAGTGATTTGTACAGTTCCATTTTTCTGAAGATTAATGAGATTGTCTTTGAAATCTGTTGCGACAACAGTCAAGGTAGCTTCACCACTGGTGTTTGTCAGATTGCTGAGTTTCCAGTTGAAGTTCTTTGTGTCCAGAAGAGAAATATAAGAAGAATCAGAGTTTGTCTCATTCAAATATCCTGTGTCATCTGCATCGTTAAATTCAATCATCTGAAACAAAATATTTGGTGATAACTTACTTTTGATAAAACATTAGGGTACCCACACAGTAAAAAGGTAAAAAAAACAAGACAGCCTTTAGGTAAAAAGGAATAAAAATGGAATTCACACTTAGGCTCTCACCTAAATATCAAAACCCAGTACCGGTAACTGAAACAATCTAATCTCTAATGTCTCCTCTACCTCAATGGTTAAAAATAGGCCTAAACCAAAAGATTTTAACTTAAATTTAATTTGTATTAGGGAGAGACAATGTGTTAACTTTTAGGCCTAGGCCTACTTTAACTTTTGGTATCGAATACTGGTGGAATAAAAATGCAACAAAACTTATCACTTTGTAAATTTAATTGATTTAGGTTACAAGTGAGTAAGTCGACTTGTAGCTTTAACTATTAGGCCTACACTTAACTTATACCTTAACTTAGGCCTATTAAATTAGGCTAAATTGTAAATAAGTGCTTATAATACCTTGTCAAGAACAACTCCATATACGTATTTAGGCACAGAATCAAATTTTACAGCATCCTCATTGCCAGCAAGGAAAGGCGACCATTGGATGTTTAGCGTAGTGTTCTTCTCAGTGAGTGCCAGGAGCAGTGATGGTTTCCAGGTGAAATCCCAAATGTGGTGAAGAGTGTCATTCAAACCTTCGGCCTTGACATGTACCAATATGGCATCTTTGCACAGAGAAGGATTGTCACAGCCTGGATTCAACTTGGCTGTGATCTGAAAAATGTTAAGTTAGGCTACCGGTATTTGTTTTAACTTAGACCTATTTCTTAAATAGGCCTACAAATCAATTACTTGAAGCAAACAACATTGTTTTCAAACAAATGACTTTGTAATCTCCCTCTAAAGGAAATAACTTAAATTGATCTTGTCTTATTTACTTTTAGTTTAATATAAATTTGAAATGCCGCTCTAACTTAGTTGGCTAAAAACGAGAACCCTAGGCATAACAATTGTTACTGAAGTTTCATAGGCTAACTTAGGCTAGGCCTTCCATGTCCTGGCTAACTTAGGTTAGCCTAGGCTAATTGAGGGTAGGGCCTAGGCTAGGTATATGGCAGAGTTGGCAACCGTCCCAAATCTGTCAGGACAGTCCTGATTTTAGTTCCTTATGCCCGTTATTAAGCCTTGATGTTAAATCCTGGTGGGAGGGGGGCCATATCCCAATATTCCCCTAACCTAAGGTGACAACCCAAGCGTATGGGTGGGATTTTTTGACGGCACACCTACCCTGTAGTTACTCTGTCAAGGTAGGCCAAGGCCTTGTTTTCTGAGGATTGGCTTATGAGCAGATAGAATAGCCTATTTTATGAACCAAATGTCGATAGGCCTAGCCTAGGCCTACCTACCTTATTTAATTAGGTGGACACGTCGAACTTAGTGTAACTTAGGCCTTTGTTGTTTTTTCCAATAAGTTAACTTAAACATTGAATGGAAGCTAGGTCCCTGTAATCCTTGTTCAGCAAATAGGCCTAGGCTGTTAATATACATTGAAACAAAAGAAACCCGGCTTAAACTTACCTTTCTTTCACAATCTACGCCTGAAAATATTACAAGCATGAGAATTAAACTGACAATAATCATTTTGTAGTTTTTGGCAGAGCTCAGTGAAAATATTACAACGATCGAGACAACAAAAATCGCGAACGCGTACGGCGTACTACACTAAAGAATTTGGTAAATTTGGTGATGGTGATTCACACAACAAACAATAAACAGCCAACGATTCGATTTCGATCTACACCAAACCAACGTTAACGTATGAAAAGAAAAGAAAACAAAGAAATTGAAGAGCAAACACAAACGAGTTTTTAAATAAAGACTTGGAAAGGGCCAATGAGAGGATCGGCTCAGTTTAGTACTACATTTACGGCATGCATTGCAACCCACTTTCGCTCCGTCCCAATCCAAGGTTTCCATAGAGTATGATTGACTCTGTCTTCCTTAAACACATATAGTTATTCTTACATATAAATTAGGGCATTGTATGGCAAACTTCATTACAACGAACGGTATCTACCTACAGGGTGGAGCTATGAGAAGTACAGTATACAATTTATAAATAACACAAGACCTTTAAGAACTATACAATTTAGAACTAATACAACTAATATATCTAACACAAGACCTATAATAATGTTTACACTAAAGATATGAAAATCACATTAAAACAAAAGTAATCTTATACCATTTTATAATGGATAAGCCATTATTTCATATACAGTATTTTAAACAACATCCTTCGGTGACATCCATGAAAATGTTGACGTCTTCAAAAAATGTAAGTCCAAAGATTCTTTCAGGTGTTACAGCACACCACACTGACACTTTAGGGCTATGTAAGGGCTTTATTATGAAGCTCTATGGGATTGTTGACATGGCCAGAAAGATAAACATGTACTTCCTTCGGAGTCTGATGACGATTACCAAGTTTGGGAAATTAGGCACTTTGTTTTTTTAATGTAAAAATCTCACCACAAAACCCTACTCTTTTGTTGTAGTCTAGTCTTTTGATGTAGACATATTACACGTCTCCATATGCCACGTGCCACTCCCTTTTAAAAATTAAAATTTAAATTAATCATGATCTGCAAGGTTTTAAACAGTTTATTGTGGGGACAAACAAATTTTTTTACGCTCCCAAATATAGTTCTAGCTTTTAGACTCACAAAAATCGTTTATATAAATCTTTTTAGGATGGGGTATTTTCTTCCAGTGATTGGAACACTGGTTTGAGGGCCGAGAAGAAAAATCCTATGGACAACATGTAACGAGTCCATTAAACATTAAAATGTGGACATTCATAATTCTGACGCTCCGGTCGTATATATATTCTAGAAAACTAATAATTAGTAATAAATTATTTCTTTAGAGTGCTCATATCTCTGATTGACATCATGACGTTTTTCTCTCCGAGCACTTAAAAACCGAGATTACATGTTTCCGAGTGAAAGAATTCTGAGCAAGTAGAGCCCGCGCTAGACACAACACACACACTTGCATTATTTGTGCCATTGTGCTGGAAACAGATGTTACTTATTTTTTTATTTATATATTCTTTTGTGATATCCCAAGCCGTGCTGCTTTGTGTGCTGGTAGACTAACCAACGGTTTGGCTAATCCAAGGTCTGCTCTGCTCAGTAATAGCCACAAGGGTGGGGCAAACCAGGGGGTCTGGGCACCCCCCCCCAAAAAAAAATTTGCGTAAACTAAAAGTCTCTAAAATGGCAGTTTTATACAATTTCTTTGTCCTAAGTTAGTGTGACAAATTATTTTACGCAATTTGTATGCACTACTGTGTATTATATGCAGTAAAAAATATATGTATATGTATGCCCGAGGGGGGGCGGTCGCCCCCTTCGCCCCCCCCCACTGGATCCACCACTGACTCTGTTGGTTATGACATGTTACATGAGCTTGAACTGTGATAGCTATGATGTTAAGTATATTTACAGTTTACATCCATTGAGCTAAGACTGAGATTATACCCATGATATTCCCCGAGCAAAGATTGGCCTAAAGGTACTTTGTAATGCACCATATGCCAAAGAGATACGGTCATTGACTAATAATACTACCTGAATTTTTAGTCTTATGACGGGGGTTTATTATGTGTATATACTCGTGTCCGACTTAACACCATACACACACACATACACATCAAACACTTCAATGACACGGGTCGCCGGAATTTTATCCCCCTGGAATTTTACCCCCTGGGCAAAGCTGAAGTCACAATGACGTAGTAAACCTGAGTGGCCAAAAGTTTGTTCGCGGCCGGAATTTTACCCCCGCGGATTTGGAAGTCTAATGAAAATAGTCAGAGCGTGATTAATTAGATTAACGATAAAATCCGGAATTTTACCCCCTGTCCATATAACTAGCGTTTAGGCAACTGAAGATGTACGGGCCGGATTTTTACCCCCGGAATTTCCCCCCCCCCGGAATTTAACCCCCTGGCTGATTTTAGAAATTGAATGATTAATTTTCTTATTTCTGTTTTTAATTAATTGTAAACATTTCATTATTTAGTAGCCTATCTTTATTTATTTATTTTGTAATCTCAACTAAGTAAACAGAATTCGCTGTTTTATTTTGATCATATTAACCAAAGATCGAATCCTGACACTCGAATCTCAAAATTAATATTAAAACCCTGTTCGATTAGTTAATGTTACATATAAATTAAAATAGGCTACTTAATAATAAAATGTTTACCATTAAATTAAAACTGAATGACGATAATTAATCATTCTCAACAATTTATATCTGCCCAGGGGGTAAAATTCCAGGGGGATAAAAATCCGCTACCCCAATGACACAACAAAGAAAAAAGATGACAATTCCCTCTCTACGACTACGGTAAGAGGACCAAGGTAAAAGGTAAAGTGTTTATACAAGGTGTTTTTTTTTTAAACTTGCATCTTTATTTATGTAAAAACCGCAATAGATAGAAATATGCAGTTTGCGGGAATCATCTATTGACGTAGGGGGCCCAATTTTTTTGAATTCAACGTTACTGTTGTGTAAAGTGAAACATAAAGAAAAGTAAACGTTGAAAATGTAAAGATATGCGTGGTTAAAGAAGAGACAAATTTTGGCGATGCACTAACCTCTAAGTATTACATTGAAGTGAAGGTCACAAGATGGCGGCTTCATCATCTTGGTTAGTGTCGTCTGGAGTCTGGAGTAGTGGGGAGTAGGCGGGAAATTTGAATGTAGGCTACATTAATTATAACTTAAAATTAATTCTTCTTTGTTATTTAAAGAAAACTCTTCTGCATGGGATAGTAATAATAATAATAATAATATATAGTTATCATAATAAATAAAATAATTACTTCTTCTAACAGTTACATTCACATTCTTATTTTGATCATATTAACCAACAGTTGGCTTCAAAGATCGAATCCTGACACTCGAATCTCAAAATTAATATTAAAACCCTGTTCGATTAGTTAATGTTACATATAAATTAAGATAGGCTACTTAATAATAAAATATCCCCCAGCCCCCAACTTAATTTTTTTAAATAGCAAGGTACCCCTTGTGATATATCAAATGAAAGAGCATGAAAAAAATGTTTGATGAAAAAAATTGAAAATCGGTTCATAAGTTTGTGAGATATTCCCCCCCTCCCTCCACGTTGGTGAAATTTGTTTTTCATTTGATATGTCACAAGGGGTACCTTGCTATTAAAAAAAGTTATGGGTTGGGGAAAAGGGGGGGGATTATCTCACAAATTCATGAACCGACTTTTCAATTTTTTTTTCATGAAACATTTTCTTTTTTAATGCTCTTTCATTTGATATGTCACAAGGGGTACCTTGCTATTAAGAAAAAAATTAAGTTCCGGGGAGGGAGGGGGGAATATCTCACAAATTTATGAACCGATTTTCAATTTCTTTTCATCAACCATTTTCTTTTTTCATGCTCTTTTATTTGATATGTCACAAGGGATACCTTGCTATTTAAAAAAATTAAGTTGGTGGCAGGGGGGAAAGGGGGGGGGAATGTGAATGTAACGTTGAATTCAAAAAAATTGGGCCCCCTACGTCAATAGATGATTCTCGCAAACTGCATATTTCTATCTATTGCGGTTTTTACACAAATAAAGATGCAAGTTAAAAAAAAAAAACACTGTATATTTCTTTTATAACAATTTTCAGATGGTACCACACCTATTTAACTAGTATTTTTTTTTTTTAAAGGCAAGTGTTTATCTTATCTTTATATGTCTTGACATGCCTTGTTAAAATACATGACAGTTAGGTCCCCTCTATTGGTACTACTCTATCAAGGAGATTTTTTAGAATAGTATAGGTGAACCAAAACAATCAGAACCAAAACCATAGACTTGCTGAAATGAAAATGGGATTTGTAATACAAATTTGATAATTTTTAATAGTTTTATTTTAAAATGCTAGATGGTGCTCACATTAAACATTAAGCATGGATTATAAATGTGACACAGAAAACAGCATGGCAATAATTCTAAAATTTAATTAAAGCAATATAAAAAGTATAAAATGTTTAACAGTATGTGATACACTATAAATATTTATCTGATAAAAGTGGACAAATTTATCCTATAAATTTACTACTTTACTGTCTCAATAAGTCACGTGATGATGAACACACTTCATTGGACTATAAATTCATATATTTGATTTGATTTAGTTTTTCTTCTGTAAACCTTGTTTAAAAACTAATGAAAATCATTCCATTCTAGATACTAACGAGGCCACAAGGGGATTACATTGTTATAGGTAGCTTTCTAAAATAAAATTACAAATACCTTGTAGAAAATTAAGAAAATTAATTTTAACAGCAAAACAATGTTTAGTATTAAAAATGCAAACAGTTCCTGGTTATGAATTAAAAAGGAAAAAATACTAGTTAACAAATCATATTTTAGGAACTGGTACTTGGACAAATTAGTAGTCCTCTTATCCATAATCTTTAGCCTCCAAAAGTAAATCTCACTTTATCGTTAGCCATGGCTTAGGTAGTGAAAGAGACATGGGCGTCAATCTAACTATTCCATAAGGGGGGCTAGGGGGACTGGAGGGTAAGGGATAACCCCCCTGTAAAAAGAGGGGTTCAGGGGTCCTCCTCCACAAAATATTTTAAATAGATGTAAAAGAGGTTTGATTTTACAATTGTATCGTAACTACATTGCTTTGTGTATTGTAATTTTATTGTTTTTTTGCATAATTTTAAAATTTTGATAATCTTTGGTTAATAAAGGGTAATAGGTGGGGGGAGGGCCCCTCCTTGGCCGTACGACCATGGAAAGGGACCTAAAATACAGCCTAACTGCAATAATCTACTCAGTTTAAAAACGAAGAGTATAATTGCTGGACACAGCTAGCAGTCTAGTTAGTGTTTCCTTTTCGTGACTGAATTTAGAATTCTTTTGATTTAAAATCCATTTAAGGATAACCTTGTTCTAATACATTCACTTATGCTCGGCTTAAGCCATAGGGCCATAGATACTCAAACCAGGTAATAAAGAGAAATCAACTCTCGGAATATCATCTCATTCAATAAAATAAAAATGTAATTATTTTTATGAATTTCAGAATGAGTTTTTGAAACAAATTTATACATTTCACAACTCAATGAGTCATCTAATAGATTGAGGGATAGGGGATGCCATCAATGATAATATTAGTAAATAGTAACATTTACAAAAATAATTAGTTGTTGAAATTAGATCCAACTAATTAGGATATTCAATTTTATTCTATTTGTTATTTTATGTAAATACTATAAAATCATATTCATATAAAAAGTAAAAATAAAAGTTATAAAACATCTTGAATATGTTACATCGTTTATCACAGTGTAATGTATTTTGTAACTTAAGTAATTCATACAAAGATATACATAGCCTAGGTATAACATATTTTTTCCTACAGTTACCTGACAAAGTGGGCTTCCTTTCACTGATTATAGCACACAAAGTAGATAATTGCTGCATTTACTTCTTTTGCCACACTCCAGTGTTCCAACCAAACAACACAAAACAGTGTGAAATTTAAATACTTAATATGCCTATAAAAAATAATAGGTATGGGTCGATTTGCTGCAAACAAAAATCCAACAAATTATTTTAATAATATAGATGCTTTATAGTAACTGTAGGAAAAATATAATGTGTAACGAGAGGGTAAAGTGCTACTTTGCACACTAGTTAAACAAATAACTATTTTTTTCAGAATTAATAATACAAATACAGTATATATGGAATGCAAATGTACGTGATCCTAGCAGTAGTTTTTAGATTAATGTGTCCAATGTACTTAAACAAACTTAATTTTCTTAAAATTGTCTTTATGTTTTTCATAAATATATTTTTAATACAAAATTAATAAAGTAAAAATTAAAAGAAAACTGCATCTTAATTAAATTAATACAGTCATTAATGTCTTAATAATCTTATTTAAATGATGTGCATTAAAATAAAACCGGCTTCTTATAGATAATATTTTAAATAAATCATACCCCATAAACTCTAATTATTTACTCAATATTCACCCATATAAGAGGTTTCACATTTGTGGTTATAATTGTATAATTTAGCATGAAATTGATTCATCAAATATAAATTCTACACTTACAAGTAAATGGCAATAAAAAATATCCGGCAAGAGATAATAGTTCTAAAAGATATGGACCAATGATATGGAAGATTTAGTAATCCTACTTTTTATTTAAGATATCAAGAAAATAAACTGGAGAAAATTGTTAGTAGTAAAAATAAATTGTTTGTAAGAAAATTAGAAGCCAAAATTAAATCTCAAATTTCATATATGACTTGTTAAAAGAGCTTTCAAAAAGATTAAACCAAATTTATTACTATATATATAAAAAAAACTGCTTGGCATGAAATACATTAAAATTTGCTACCAAAAAATAAAATGAAATAGCAAAGACCTTTTTTTCTCAGGTTTAACAAATTTTGATTATTTTCTTTAGCAAGTACCTAAATACTATTTAGTATAAATTAGCACTAAACTAATTAGACCTTGTTTGGTTAGGAAAGAATAGCTTCACAGAAAAGCACATCTAAGCAAAAATAAAAATGTGCGTTTTTTAAATATAATCGCCTACCGGTACTTATAAGAAATAGGAAACAATTCAAATTTGATCATTTGACTCGAGTCTTTAAACTATGTGATAAGTTAAATACAGAATGCTATAACACAGCCATACTATAACAAATAAATACAGTACCTATATACAAAACAAATTCATCACAGTAAAACAAAAATTTACAAACATGAACATTTGAGGGACAACAATGATACAACATACAACAAGAGGTGAGAACCAAATGTAAAAGGCTCGCTTAAAAGTTAACGAGCAATTAAAAGTTCTCAGAAATTTATTATTATACCTTGTGAGTGTCTTTAAGGTTAAGAACAGAGTGATTCAAAATAAGTACTAAAATAAGCTTTGGTAGCAGCTTTAGTACAAAATATCTTACAGTTAAAACTATTATAAACATTTTCTAAACTACAAAATAAAAATGTCATACGTTCGCAGCACATAGTTGTTTTGGGAAAAGTAAATTTCAACCCAATATCTGTTAGGTCCTGTAAGGTCCATGATTGACTTGAGAAGTAAGAAGGATATAAATAAAGACTTAGAAATATTAGGAGACTATCCAAGCATTCTAGTATTATGTTTCTTTCCACAGCTTCCATAAAAAGCTTTAATTGGTCTTGGAAAACTAGAGACACAATAATACATTCTTAAATAATATTGACAGTGTAAAATACTCTAAAAACATAGAGAAACAGCCAACAGGCTTACATCACTTGGTTAATTTATGCCATTTTAATTACATAAAATGGTTTCTGTTTGGCCTTTGTCTCACAAAACTACATCTTGTTAGCCTCGCTTCAAATAAATTAGTTGACAAGACCATGATTAGTTTTAAATAAAAACTATCTATGTTGTACCATTGACTACAGACACAGAAAAATTTACTCCACATTAGTATTGCCAGGTAGTAACGGTTTTATTATGTGTTTGAAACTATCAATAGTGAGAAAATTTCTTTATGCTAAACTTTAAGTTTTTTAAAAATAACAACTTCTGTTTGTAAACGTTTATATCAGATTACAGGGTTAAAAACTACAGAATTCATTTGAAAATTTGATTGCAATAAATAGTTTACGATTTCTCGCACTAGCAACTCCAGTTATTGTTAGATTATAAACACATTCCATAGGCACTTATGTTACAGAGTACTTAGGAGGACTAATTTCTGTGTCTCTAGTCGATAAGTTTATAGCATTTTTAAACTGTTGTGCTTCTTTAATTTATGCGTAAAAATATTACTTTGTGACTGGGTATTTTAGTTTGCATTTTAACTTAATTCGGTTGGAAATCACAGGGGGAAATGCAGTTACAAATTGTTTTCGTCCATTGCGAAATTGATATCCTCCACTAAGTTGTCGAGAATCTCCTTGTACCTTTGTGAGTCTCGCTTGAAAATAGTGTCGAGGAACTGAGGATTGGAGAAGAACTCAAAGACTGCGTCTATCCTCTGCAGACTCTTGTCTTTGAGGTGATTCTGAACGAGTCTTTTCAGGTTAGCGTGGGCTTCTGTGAGATTCAAGACCAAGAACTGGCGATCGTACATGAAGTCGACCCCGTGAAAGCTCAGTATGGCCATAGCAACCGTGTGGAACTTAACTTTAAAGTTCTCAGCGTACTCGAGATCTGTCGTGTTGAACTCATCATTGCGGAAAAGCACTCCGACTTTGATCACAGTCTTGATTATGTTTTTCATAATCTTCTCTGTTTCTTTTTTGTTTTTGGTCTGAAACAGCACAACACTATATTACATGTTTGGCAAATTTAAACATTTCTGATTATATTTTTGAAGTCATAATCAGATTATTTTTCTGTTTGAGCGTAAGCTAAGTAAGGTTTAGTTGTACATTACACAAATTAAATGTCAGGAAACTGAATGGTTATAGTGTTTACCTTTAAATCTTAAGGTCCCTCTGGTTCGATTCTAAGCGGGATGGTATCTCAACCCAGATGCCAATTTATCATTGGCTATCGATTAGTGATGTTATCTGACAAAAGGTCAAGGATCAGTGGCGGTTCTTGGACCTTGTATAGGGGGGGGGGGGGCTAACTAGGGGTTTTTACACTAGGTAAGGGGCCAGAGACCTTCCCCCAAAAAATTGGCTACTTTTATAGCAGTTTTCTGACTTTTAAAGCCATTTTTAAGGTCTAGAACTGTGCCCAAAGACCTCCTATACTAAAAAATGTACGTTTATATTTATATTTCCAGGGTCCAAGGGGGGGCTTTAGCGCCTATTGCTCTCCTTGGAACCGCCAATGGTCAAGAAAGTATCAAGACCAGGGTTTATATGACCACTGAAAGTCCAGTTTCAGAATCGAACTAGCTATCTACCAGTTAGTTTGCTAGTGCTGTACGCAATTCCCTTGTTATCTATCTAGCTTTTTTAAATCTATCTGAAATTAAATAAAATAGTATGTGTCACAAGTCGCAAAAGTTCTTATGGTTATTCTATATGTCTGTGGTGCAAAAGATCTTAATTCCACTTTATAAACTCCTTATCTTCTAGTTCTAGTCAAATTTAAACGAATATGAATTTAAAGATACTAGTGTCCCTGTTGCTCGAATTCAAGCAATTGCTAAGTATTACAGGCGTTATTTTAAAACTACTGTAATTTCAACCAAGTCAGCAAATATTTGTAGCAAACTGTTAAATTAGCAAACTTATTGACTGTTTTCAATATTAACATATGTTCTTCTTCTCACTTTTAATTTCTGACAACAGCTGGAGTTGCATGAAAATTTTTGTGTCCCATGTTAATCTTATGGAGAAATACAAAACTTTAAAGGGCCCCAGGGCCTCACTCTCTGATTATTTCCCTAAAAAGAAAGTTTCCTGCACAACTTCACGTTACGCTCTTTGCAATGACACCAAAAACATGTCAATCGGTTCAGTAGTTTCGGAGGAGTAATTGTCACAAAAAATATGCTTGCTATTAAATAAGTACGAGAGGTCGTCCAGTGGTCGAAACTCGACCAAAAATGTCCAATGTACTGTACTCACTTATCTATTTTTACCCCACACTGTAAATAAAACATGTGATTGGAGTTTCTTCCATTTGTTTTGATTTTCTGTTTATATTTCGTTGTTATTTCGTCACCATGGCAACGCATAAGATCCATGTTAATTTTTTTCAAATTTTTAAACTCATTTTTCGTGCTTATCTTTGAGCCTATTTAAATTTATAAAGGGATTCTGCACACCTAGAGGAAAATAGCTTTCTAACGGTATGCGTAGATTTCACCTACGATGCACACGAGCTGAGAAAAAAGGTTTTAAAGAAACATGCTCGCCTATTAATATATAGATAGAAGATAGATATAGATAGATTAAACAAGGGACAGGTGCTGTTTATGATAGCCAATTTACCACTGTCCTTTAAAACCAACAGAATCAATACTGTATTAAAGTAGACGGCTCAATTTAGAAAAGAGCAATAAAGAGATTGACTCTTGAGTGTCAAAGTGTTCAGGTTTAAAGGATCACAAGACCAAGTCTGGGGGGGGGGGGGGTTGTCACTAAAGTGAGGTTAGCAACTTTTCACTTCATCTCTGAGAATCTAATTGATGTAACTAAACTTGGCTGAAAGACTCCAATGGACTTGGCAACCTTAAATAAACTCTTTGCTACTTTGAAAATTTTAATTATCCTATTTCCATAATTTGTTTAGAGTAATTGAAAAAGTTTTGTTCCAACAAGGACTAAAAATAACACAAAATCAAACTTTTATTTTATTTAATTAGATATCCAAAGAGAAATGTTTAACTTCCATGTTTAAAAATTTTATTTTTGTTTTGAAAATTTATATTTTAGTTTTGTAGTTTTTATTTATGAAATTTAAGATCAGTTCTACAAATTGTCAGGGTCAGTTTAAAAAGAGGAGGGCCTTTTTTACTGGCAGAGAAAATTGGAAAAATAAGGTAAGAAATTACATAACAAACTAAGTCCACCCATAAAGTGTCAAAAACTAAATTCCTCGTACATTACTACAATTTGCTCATTTGTGTGAGTTTTTGAATCCTTAAAAATATATATTTTAGACTGTGGCTGCAAAAAGTTTCAACACCGGTTTCCAGATATATGCGGGGAGACAGAAAAAATGTCTTTACGCAATGAAATAACTCAAGTGAACCAAACTAATAGAATATTGTTTATTCGAAAATTGAACACAACTCTACACAACTATGTTGGGGGTTGAAAAAGTTCATGTAGGCCTACAGAGTCTGTAATTTTACAGTTAGCCTAACAAACTGCATACATTAGAACCGGTACCGGTACCAAGAAATATTGTCCAGACCAGAGCCAAATACAGTTCTGAGTTATCAGTTATCATGAATATTCATTACCGTATGCTTCTACAAATGTTACAATGATCCACTTACATATTCCAATACCAGCTTGTACAAGTTGTCCAGCAGACTTGCAGTGTTGTCATCTATGAATATCTTACGGGCATTCTTGTTGGTGGCCATCCGGCCCAAGATCTTCTTCTGAGCCCGCAGACCGATGTCCCTGGCTCGGAACCCGTCCGACATGACTGCAAACACAGAAGAATTGTTGTATGACATCAAGGAATTGAAGTTGTTGCTTTGACTTATGATAGAAGTATATACCAATTATCATTCAATCTAAAGCCAATTTTAGAATAGAAAGTAACATACAGTACAGTATTTAAATTGGGCCACCAAAAGAGAGCGCTGATTTACTGATTTCATTAAAATAATCCAAATTCTTTTCCAATCCAAACTGAAAATAATAGAATTTTCTGTATTGACCACTAGTATAGCACATTTTTAGTCACATAATTAAAACTAACATTAAATTTAAATATAATTTAAGCATGTAAACTATTGAGTTTGATTACAAAATACAGGGCAAATTAAGAATGCACAACAAAACAGCTACATATGGTACCGGAGACTCCTGCAAAATATTGATGCAAACCTCTACACAGAAGCAGTAAGCTCTGAAGCATCATTATTTTGAAGGAGCTTCAAAAATAAGTGTTAAAACGTTGGTATTTAAATTCAAAACTTAATGGGATTTGTTCAACGCATATTATGGTTTGTAATTCCTCGAGACAGACAGATTCATTTACAAAATAATGGACGGTTCTTTATAAGCAACGAATTATATAAAAAAATATTTTTGATAATTAGCAATTAGTCTTATTGACCATTTTGATTATTGTTTCTGGGGGTTAAAATTGGCAACGGATAATTTAATTACGTTTGATGGTTGGCCACAAAACTGGTAATTAATCGAATAACTCGACTCGATATAATGATTCAATCTTGTTTGTATTTCAGTTGTATATTAATGTTTAGAATTTCAAATAATTAGCCTTGGATTTGATGGTGATAGGTATGACTGTAGTAGGTATGACGACATAGATCGCCATTACAACATCTTTTAGATTTATCTTGTAAATGTTTAAAGTTAAAATGTTGACGCATAAGTGTTGGAAGTATTTTTTTTGTACTCGCATATTAAGTTTTTTTGAGAATGTGACTTAAGTCTTGTTCAACCTATGTTGTAAGCTACACATTATCATCATAACTTATCCCAATGACATATCCGGGAATTTATTGAAAATAAATCAATTTCTTCTGAAGTCCCGGCCTTGAACAGTTGGTCAAAGTGTTATTTATCATACGCTATGTATAATACAGAGGAAAACTTGTGAAAGTCTAGAGGAAGAATGTTTCCCAAGACACGGAAACCACAACATATGATGTGGGAATCAAACAATCAAACACTTTCATCAACTAAAATCGGCATCTGCTGCCACGAGACGTAGGGAAGTGTTGATGATGTTGAGCATAGGGTTCGATGTTTGAAACTAATAAATTGTCCTTAGTTTCGACAAACGTGGAGAGATTTTTCTCACATCAGAAACATAATAAATTGATTGGTTGGTTATATAATTGACTATGTACCATAATGGTACAGTATATTCAATAGTTATACAGAATGTCATGACTAATCTTTATTTCTATCCTGTTAATTTCACGGTTCGACAGGGTCCATCTGCTTGTCTGTGGTTGTAGGTAGAAGCACAGAAGCTGCAGTGATATTTTTTATTAGATACTAGTCAATGCTTGAATTGCAGTGTGGCCAAAAATTTATGCTGACATTTTTGCTAAGCTGCAGCATTAAAATGTGTTAATTTGTAAAGTATAGTTAATTTTTACTTTGGATTTTTAGCGAGCGATTCAGAGCCATAGGCACGTAAGAGTTTATTTATTTGATACAATAAAGTAATGGATTCTGCATTTCACTATTGATAGTATCCAATAGTCAATGATTCTGTCTGTATTTGGTAGCACGTAGCACAACAAATAGATTCATGTAATAGCAGTTTCTGATAACCCAGTGTTGATCTTCAAACAAATTGGTCATGTTCGAAGTGACTAGACATATCTAATGATAGATGACTTAGCTGCACTGCGGCACAGGTTTATTCCCATTTTCGAATGAAAAAGTAGAAATTGTGTAACTTTAATGAGTGTTGATACCTGCTTGACCTAGTTGAGACATCTACATTGGGTGTTACATTTCAACCAAGAAAGTTCTTACATTGAGACGCCTTGTACAGTTTACGTGATAAAATCTGTTACTCGCAGAGCAGAGCGTGTACTATTATCATTGACTATATATACCTACAGTAGGTATATATAGTCAATGCTACTACTCAATGGCAATACTTTGGAGATCCTGCCTGTCGAATGTTGGCTATCGTTGGACTTATTTTACGGATATTATATTTATCTTTCTAGGCAAGCATGTTTCTTTAAAACCTTTTTTTCTCAGCTCGTGTGCATCGCAGGGTAAATCTACGCATACTGTTAGAAATATATTTTCCTGTAGAGGTGCAGAATCCCTTTATAAATTAAAAGGTATAAAGATAAGCACAAAAACTAAATTTGAAATTTCAAAACATTAAATTATGCCATATCGGTTGCCATTCTGGTGACAAACATAAACAGAAAATCAAAACAAATTGAAGAAATTCAATGCTTAATGCTTATGCTAATGTTTAATATGAAATATAATTCGAAATTGAACACAATTATTCTCAATATTTGCGATCCAAAGTGTGCACTTAACAAGTCACAGTTAAATACATATTTAGATCTGTTAAAATAAACCGTAGCTTTAAGGTCGCGTTATTTTGTACCTGTCCAGCACAGAACGCCTCAATTGCACGTGGTCAACACGAGAGTGTTTCTGTCTGTCTGTGTGTGTGTGCTGAGTGGCAGGGGGAGGGGAGGGGAGGGGGGGGTTCCACTCAGAGACTGCTCGGCGCCACTTGGACTATAATTTCTCATTTGTTTTGTTTTCACCGAGACTCGAAATCCACAAGTGTGAAACAAGTGGCAATAAACTCACATAATTGAGTCTGTGAAATGAGAGGTGAAACATTGACTTTAAAATACCAGGGTAAACGTACAATATAGACCATCTGCAGCAAATTTTGTATTAAAGTATAAAGTTTAATTAAATTATGCATTCATAGACTGAACTACTGGCGAAATTTGAACATTTTCCTTCAATTCACTAACACTAACTTTTTTCAGGTTGAAATGCTATACGGTAATTGTCTAAAAGTCCTGTTTAGGATGAATGTATTTTGGGTCGGATCGGATTGGGATAGGAGGTTGGAACAAAGACATAGCTGAAATAATTGTATTGTATTGTTACATACACAGTGGTGTGGTAGTTTCTAGTGGATTAACGGAAACCGTTCACAAATTTGATTTCCTCTCTATTTTTAGCCATGTTCACTTATTATCGTATAGTAAATCTATTATACAAGATAGTCAATCCATACTCTAGGAGTTGAGCGTTTGCACTCGTATTTCAATACGAGAGTTAATGATTCATCGTCTTTTTGAAGACAGTTTGAGATTGAGATAAAATCAAGGCGTCATTAGAACCTTTTAGACAACCTGACTACTAGTTTCCCTTATAGGTTAAATGACCACTGTTTGACAGATAAACATGCACAATACACATCCATTCAATGAAACTACACTGGCTTAAAACCTCTTTACCAATTAGCTAATTTATATGGATATAATGACATGAAACACTTGTAAAAATGTAACAAATTATCACTCGACCGAAACTGATAACAATAGGAAGTGGTTAGTGATTGTAACACTATTTTCAGATGCAACCTTTCCTGAACTGAATTTATAGTAAAATATCAAAGATATTAAGGTATTAGATTTGATACGCCAATACTGAATTGGAATAATCATTATTTTATTTCAATTAGTGATCAACCAGAGATTTTTTGAGATTAGCAAAAAAATTTTTGAAAATCGTATTACACCATATTTTGTTCCATACATGGGCATGCAGTAGGAATATAGCCTGCTTTACCATAACAGTATTGTTGTCATTGGTTCTTTGCAGCCGGTCTTTTTACGTTTCCTGACCACTTTAAAAGGAGATTCGGACTGTCAATGCTTGACCGGTTACGTTGCTTCATTTTCTGATTGCATTGGCGTAAACAATGCTTTGATTTTAACATGTACACGTCAAGGGAAATCTGATGGCATATTTTTTCGGTCTATGACTCTACTGTATGATTGTTTATTGTCTATGTGCATTACCATAAATAATAATTCTCCCTTATATATATATATATATATATATATATATATATATATATATATTTATAATTCAGCTTTAAGTTAGGTTGTTGTATGTGGAAACACAATACAATTAACCTAATTTCTCTTAAATTTTCCAGCTTTTTTAAAATTTATTAAGTCGAGTCTACGAACGAGTAATCTGTAAACCATCGTCTAACTTCTGAAAGTACTGTAGTGTAATACGTGTAGATATAAAGTCAATGGTAATACCAAAAAATATAGCGTGCAAGGTGAAATTCGTTTTAAAACAGCAAAGAAGCCTACAGTAAGTCCCTTAAATAAGTATAAACAATTTAGGAATATATTTTATGTGTCAAAATAAAACAGAAATAATTCATAACAGATTTTCGAACAAAATCGCATCGTTTGCGAGATAGTCACCATCTGATTTTTTTTATAATTTATGTCTTTTAGACAATTTTAACAAGACATCTATAACATTTGGCAGAAGTGGTGAAGTAGAAATAAAATAATTGGGAAACAAAACTTATACATTTATCTGACCATAGTAATAATTAATAATGCAATATATTTGTGTTGATAATGTTGTACGGTGACAATGATATGGTTGGACAATTCATCATAATGTATGTGATATTAATAATTTATATAAGTTTTTTAAAACATATAAGAAATGATGTTATCAATGGAAAGTCTTAGCTTCTCGTCAAATATATATGAAATAAGATTTTTTGAAAGTGTTGTCTTCTGAATTTCCATTACTCTTTATTTTAAGTTAAAATAACAAAGGGCAAAGCTAACTTAACGTCGGTATACTAGACAACGGTGGATATATCTAGAGTTGAGACTAATATTAGCTACAAAAAAGATAAAAGCTGCTGAGGCTGAAAAAGGTTCAATTTAACAGTCC